TCTGTCTGTCTCCCTCCCTCTCTGTCTGTCTCCCTCCCTCTCTGTCTGTCTCCCTCCCTCCCTGTCTGTCTCCCTTCCTCCCTGTCTGTCTCCCTTCCTCCCTGTCTGTCTCCCTCCCTCCCTGTCTGTCTCCCTCCCTCCCTCTCTGTCTGTCTGTCTGTCTCTCTGTCTCCCTTCCTCCCTGTCTGTCTTTCTGCCTCCCTCCCTCCCTGTCTGTCTGTCTGTCTGTCTTTCTGCCTCCCTCCCTCCCTCTCTGTCTGTCTGTCTGTCTGCCTGTCTGCCTCCCTCCCTCCCTGTCTGTCTGTCTGTCTCCCTCCCTCCCTTTCTGTCTGTCTCCCTCTTTCCCTTCCTCCCTCCATCTCTGTCTGCCTGCCTCCCTCCCTCCCTCCCTCTCTGTCTGTCTGTCTCCCTCCCTCCCTCTCTGTCTGTGTGTATGTGTCTCTGTGTGTGTGTGTCTCTCTGGAGACAGGTAGAGTTGCCGTGGGCGTCAGCCTAGCCTCACAGCAACCTCCAACTTCCTGCGTCTCAAGCAGATCCTCCTGCCTCAGCCCCCTGAGTAGGCTGGCGACTACGATGGCATGTGCACCATGCCTGGCTATTGTTTTTATATTTTTAGTGGCAACTAATTTATTTGTATTTTTTTTTTTTTTTTTAGTAGAGACGGGGTCTTTGCTCTTGCTCAGGCTGGGTTCAACCTCCTGACCTTGAGCGATCCTCCCACCTTGGCCTCCCAGAGTGTTGGGATTACAGGCATGAGCAACTGCGGGCCCAGCAACCTCGTCCCCTTTTCGCTGGGCTGCCCTTTTCCTTGTCTTCCCTGGAAACATTGTATGTGGGGCACCTTGGGTCTATGATTTCTAGGGGCCTTATTACCTCAGGTTGCTTTTTTCTACGGACCGAGAGCATAATCATTACTTTCTGTTCTGCTTTGGTCGTTGTCTCACATATTTGCTTTCGGTGCTCTGAGTAGGTTTCTTTAACTGCTCCTATCCCTCCAACCCTCTAGTTTGCCAAGCTTCTTAGCAAGTATCAGGCAATATTGGTCAAAAATGTAGCCGCTTACATCCTTTGAACTTGAAGGGGGGCACCAAACATTCAATCCCTAGTACTGGCTGGGCACAGTGGCTACGCCTGGTAGCCTCGGCCTCAAAAAAAAAAAAAAATCACGAGTACTTATCTGTTCCTTTAACCTTGTTAAAACCTCCCATAGTCCTTCCTCGTGTGTGTGTGTGTCGTGTGGGGTGTTGTGTTGTGTGTGTGGTGTGTGTGTGTGTGTTTTAGGACAGCAATCTCGCTTTGTTTCACCAGGTAGAATTGGAGTGCCATGGCATCAGGGCCTAGCTCACAGGCAACCTCAAACTTCCTGGGCTCAAGCGATCTAGACTGCTTCAGCCTCCCAAGTAGCTGGACTTACAGGCGCATGTGCACCACGTCCGGCCTAATTTTTTTGTCTATATACTATTAATTGGCCAATTTATACGGTGGTCTCGCTCTTGCTCAGGCTGGTTCGAACTCGCTGACCTTGGAGCCAATCCTCCTCACCGTCGGCCTCCAGAGTGCAGGATGACAGCGTGCAGGCCCCCTAACCGCCCAGCACCCTCCCACCCCTTGTGGGCTGAATATCGAATGCCCTCCCGATGATTTGAGACATGAACTGCTTCCCTTATTCCCTTTTATAATCAAATTTCTAAGATCTCTCGTGTTTCCTACAGACTTGCATCATTATTGTCCACACCTGGGGCTCCTGATCGGCGGGGGGACATTCTCCCTATGGACACCTGTGTGGGGTCTGCTGGGTGCTCACGCTCCCAGTTGGGCCATTGCTGTCTCTAATCCTCCCCCTTCTGCTTCTCCAAAAACAGAACACTGCAGATCGGACACGAGCCTTGGGCCCCAGTGCGTCCATCTGGGGCCTAGAAATTGATCCAGCCTGATCTGCCAACCCATGCAGTCTTTAACAGAGGTTTAGCTCTTTACATTTCCTGACTTCTGGAACTAGGAAGGGGAGCATTAACGCACAGTTTCCCCCTCCTAGGGAAGTTTCCCGAAGTGGGTACAAAGCCTGGGATTTTTCACCACGGAAGGAAAGGGAAAGTTTTGGATATCCTGCTTACATCGTTCTTTTCTTTTTTATTTTTTTGGAGACAGTCTCACTCTGTTGAGCCAGGCTAGAGTGGGTGCCGTGGGCGTCAGCCTAGCTCACAGCAACCTCACACTCCTGGCGCCTCAAGCAATGCTCTGCCTAGCCTCCCGAGTAGCTGGGACTACAGGTACACACCACCATGCCTGGCTCATTCTTTCTATATATTTTTAGTTGTCCAGCTAATTTGTTTGTATTTTTAGTAGAGATGGGGTCTCACTCTCGCTCAGGCTGGTCTCGAACTCTTGAGCTCAAATGATCCTCCTGCTTCAGCCTCCCAGAGTGCTAGGATTACAGGCGTGAGCCACCACGCCCGGCCACTTTCCTTAAATTAGGGAGCGAAGGGCATAGGGTTGGGTGGGAGCTGAGGCCCTTGCAGTGGTTCAGGATCTGCTTCCTCTGTTCTCACTTCCTTGGCTCCTCTCTCCAGGGGGGTCAGACAAAAGCCCACCATCCTGAGAATTTTCATCAGGTGGGTTTGTAAGGTGGGGTAGGAGAAGGGTCCCCAGGGGGAGAAGGCTCTGGGAGTCTGGACTGCCCCCGATCCCAAGAGCTGCCACAATGAGGTAGAGGGACGTCTCCCCCCCAGGAGCAGGGACCAAGCACCTCCTTCCAAAGGAATGAATGGGCGATCTAGGACAAGCCCCCAAATTTGTGAGGGGGTAAGCGATACCGCAGTGTCATTTCTAGGCAGAACCTGTGGCTGTGTCTCACCTATCGGCCCTATTTGAGCTGCCACAATCTTGTTCTTACCAGACTGGCTAAGCGGGGTGCTAAGCACACAAAGGCCAGAGAAGGAGGGGGCTCCTAGTGTAGTAAATGTTTATTATAGTCAGGGCACGGTGAGGTGTGCGACTTCCCGACGCTTTGGCAGAAAGATCAAGCCAAGGTTTCTCCTCCCTACAACAGGCAGTTGTTGAGTGGACCAACTGTGATCCTAAAAAATATTTCTGGAAAAACAAAAAGGCGGGAGTACCCTGCCCCTCCACAACAAAGATTAGCAGAGCACTCTAGTGTTCTTAATTTCTTTCTGTGTCCTCCCCCCGAGATCCTTCATCTTTACACCTCCCTTTTGGATCCCAGCCAGAGCCCCGACAGAAGGTGTGGGTGCGGCCAATGGGACTCCCAGGAACTTGGGACGGCCCTTGCAGTATGTGTGGTTGGTTCAAACTTCTACAGGTCATGAGTAGGTCCCTTCCAGACGCGTTCGCCCACATGGTCAGCCGGATTCCACAAATGAAAGCTCGCTCCTGCCGGCCACTGCCGATGGGGTCTGCGGGACAGACGGTGTGAACCGTGACGGTGCCCGGCTCACGTGGGTATGTTGAGACAACTGGGAACACAGCCTCTGCTGTGATGACACAACTGGGCGCTCCTCCTACCCCGGGGAACGCTTTCCTGGCGTGTTTGGCTATTGTTGCCCGACTGTAGCAGCAGTCAGTACCCTGGGGCTGCGTTGTAGCCTGTTTCTCTTTTTGTGTTTCTCCCAGGCAGCACAGCCACTGTTTACTGGACTCATGTCTTCCTTTTCTTTTCCTTTTTCTTTTTTTGGAGACAGTCTCATTTTGTTGCCCGGGCTAGAGTAAGTGCCGTGGTATCAGCCTGGCTCACAGCAACCTCAAACTCCTGGGCTCAAGTGATCCTCCTGCCTCGGCCTCCCGAGTAGCTGGGACTACAGGCATGCGCCACCATGCCTGGCTGATTTTTTTTTTTCTACATATTTCTAATATTTTCTATATATTTTTAGTTGGCCAAGTAATTTTTCTATTTTTGGTAGAGATGGGGATCTCGCTCTTGTTCAGGCTGGTCTTGAACTCCTGACCTTGAGTGATCTGTCCACCTAGGCCTCCCAGAGTTGCTAGGATTACAGGCGTGAGCCACCACACCTGGCCTGGACTCAGGGGCTTAAACACAGGCAGGTTTAAGACATAACATGGGGACTCGAAGATCCCTCTGTCCACTGGTGACTCTGCATGGACGGGAGGAGGGGTATTGCTGCCTCCACGGTCCCGGCAGAGAAATGGAACAGATTGACTTAATGTCACAGAGTCAGGAGTTTATCATTCCTCTAAGCCTCCTGCGGGTGTTGCCAGCTTACATAGCACAACATGGTGCGTTCCCAGGACCACCCAAAAATATCTACGTTGTCTCGTCTTTTCCAGGGTGGATCCGCCAATTGACCTCCCAGCGCCATTATGAAGAGACAGTGGCTGAAGCCGACATCTTTCTCCTGCTCACCCCCCATCTCTAGGTGTCTCATTTCAAACATACAAAAAGGGGACAGGTGGTGGCTGGGCCTAGAGGAAAGGATGGATGGAAAGATGGTGAGCAAGGGAATGAAGGGTCAGGTGTTCAGCTTTGAACGCCTGCCCGGCGCTGCTTGTCTGCTGAGCACAAAAGTCAGCTGGAAACAAATACAGGGAGGGACTTGCGTAGGGGGGTGCATTTTCTACTTGAGATTTTGGTCTCTTCCCTTCTCTGGACACTGCGCTTTGAGCGATCATTCCTTCCTTCGTACTGAGCTCAGGAGCAGAAAGCAGCTGCAACTCCAGGGGCCAGGACAGGGGACCGGACTTTGTCCCGAGCTGGGAGAGTGGTGAGCAGGACTGGCCGGCTGTGTCTCCTCGTTCTCGCAGAGTTCCCAACTCCGGGCTCTTCTCCGGCCTCCGAGCGGTCCCACCTTGGGCAGCCCCGGCTCCACCCCCACCCCCCTCTGGGGACACCTGCCCAGTCGCCGGCCGGCCCAGCTGGAGGGGCGGGAAGGGCGCAGCCACGCCCCGGGGAGGGCCCGGCGGGCTCCCCCACCCCCGGCCCGTGCCCTCGCCAGCCAGCGGCGTTGGGCGGCTCCCCGGGACGCGCCATGGCCGCTGCCCAGCCCAAGCCCCTCGCGGGGGCGGCCGTGGCCCGGCGCCTGGCCCGGGGCTGCTGGTCCGCTTTCTGGGACTACGAGACGCCCAAGGTGATCGTGGTGAGGAACCGGCGCCTGGGCGTCCTGTACCGCGCGGTGCAGCTGCTCATCTTGCTCTACTTTGTGTGGTGCGCGGGGCCGGGGGTGCGGGCGGGGGGTGCGGGTTGCCGGGAGCGGCCGGGGCGTGCCCCGAGGTCCTGGAGGGCAGTGGCGCAGCGGGGAGGGGGCCGGTCCTGGCTCCCACCTTCCCGGGTCGCCTCCGGAGCTGGCGCCGCCCCTGCCCCGCAGGTACGTGTTCATCGTGCAGAAGAGCTACCAGGACAGCGAGACGGGCCCCGAAAGCTCCGTCATCACCAAGGTCAAGGGGGTGACCACGTCGGAGCACAAAGTGTGGGACGTGGAGGAATACGTGAAGCCCCCCGAGGTACGGCCGGCCCCTGCCCCGCTAAGGGCACATCCCCGGGCGGGCCGAGGGGTGGGAGCTGTCGGCACCGACCGTCCTCTTTCTGAGCCCAGGGGGGCAGCGTGTTCAGCATCATCACCAGGATCGAGGTCACCCCTTCCCAGGCCCTGGGAACCTGCCCGGAGGTGAGGCCGGGTCCAGGGGCGGGGGGCTGGGGGGCTCCGAGTCCCTGCCGGACCCTGACTGGCGTCTCCGCCCTAGAGCATGAGGGTCCCCAACGCCAACTGCCACTCGGATGAGGACTGCGTGGCTGGGGAACTGGACATGCTGGGGAATGGTCAGTGTGCCCGGCGTGGGGGGAGGGCCTGGGGGATGGTCAGCGACGGCCCCCCGCCAGCTCTGCTGTGTCTGCCCCTCAGGGCTACGGACCGGGCGCTGCGTGCCCTACTACCAGGGCACCTCCAAGACCTGTGAGGTGTCCGGCTGGTGCCCCGTGGAAGATGGAGCCTCCGTCAGGTGGGGGCAGTCGGTGACCCACCCACCTGCGGCCTCAGCTGCCACCCAGAGGCTCTGCGGCCACTGTCTCTGCACTGGGGTGGGGTGACTCTGGGGCCGGGGAAGTAGGGAGGTTCCTGCTGGAGGGGCCTGAACCATCCCTGCCTCTGCCTCCTCAGCCAATTTCTGGGTAAGATGGCCCCCAACTTCACCATCCTCATCAAGAACAGCATCCACTACCCCAAGTTCCGCTTCTCCAAGTAAGAGCCGGTGGGTGTGGTGCCAACATGGCCAGGGGCTGCCTGCCGGGGGGAGCTGCCTGCCCGGGGGAGCTGCTGGGGTGCCAGGCTCTGCCCTCTGCCCTTCCCAGGGGAAACATTGCAGACCGCAAGGACGGGTACCTGAAGCACTGCTCCTTCGACGAGGGCTTAGATCCCTACTGCCCCATCTTCAGGCTGGGCTTCATCGTGGAGCAGGCGGGGGAGAACTTCACGGAGCTCGCGCATAAGGTGAGCATGGGTGGGCGGGCGGCTCTGCCTGTGGGGGGAGCGGGGGGGGGGTCCCTATCACAGCCACGAGTCCCTCTGCAGTCCTGGCTGGAGGAGAGAAACACAATCTGCAAGACTCGGTGTGTGCACCTGCTGAATTATTGACACCTGGCCACGCGGCTGCCACTGGCACCTTCACCAGCTCCCTCACCCTGGCAGGGTGGTGTCATAGGTGTCATCATCAACTGGGACTGTGACTTGGACCTGGCTGCAGCCGCGTGCAACCCCAAGTACTCCTTCCGGAGGCTCGACCCCAAACACGTCCCTGCCTCCTCGGGCTACAACTTCAGGTACGCTTGTCCTCAGGACGTAGCTGATCCCGGGCTATGTCAGCTCCGCAGAGCAGACGGGGTGGGACCCAAGAAGCCCGAGCCTCCCCCGGAACTGCCCTAGAACAGGCACCGCCCCCCCAACCTCCACGGGTCAGCATCTGCTTCCGGCTCACCCACTCTAGGTTTGCCAAGTATTACAAGACAAATGGCACCACGACCCGCACGCTCATCAAAGCCTATGGCATCCGCATTGACGTCATCGTGCACGGACAGGTGAGCACAGCGCACGGGGGTGGGTGCTTGACCCCTGTCGTCCCTGCCTCCTGAAAGCAGGAGCTCCAGCCATGACTGAGCTGGCTTAGCCCCGCCCCTCCCTTGAGCCCCTGGTGGCCCCATCTAGACATGCCTGTTCTCCCCAGGCCGGGAAGTTCAGCCTGATTCCCACCATCATCAATCTGGCCACAGCTCTCACCTCCATCGGGGTGGTAAGGAGCCCA